TTTGGGCCCCTCAGTACAAGAAAGACATTGAGGTGCTGGAGCGTGTCCAGAGGCGGGCAACGAAGCTGGTGAAGGGTCTGGAGCACAGGCCTTATGAGGAACGGCTGAGGGAACTGGGGTTGTTTAGCCTGGAGAAGAGGAGGCTGAGGGGAGACCTTATCGCTCTCTACAACTCCCTGAAAGGAGGTTGTAGCGAGGTGGGTGTTGGTCTCTTCTCCCATGTAGTTAGCAATAGGACAAGAAGAAATGGGCTCAAGCTACTCCAGGGGAGATTTAGATTGGATATTAGGAAAAAATTGTTCACGGAAAGGGTAGTCAAGCATTGGAACAGGCTTCCCAGAGAGGTGGTGGAGTCACCATCCCTGGAAGTGTTCAAAAATCAGGTAGACGTGGCACTCTGGGACATGGTTTAGTGGGCATGGTGGTGTTGGGTTGATGATTGGAATGATGATCTTAGAGGTCCTTTCTGATCTTAATGATTCCTATTTTTTACTTTCATTATAAATAATCCAGCCACCAGGCCAGGAAACATGAAATTGCTACTTTACCCCTAATTGGTTTAGTGGTGGACTTGGTAATGTTAGGTTAACGGTTGGACTGGATGATCTTAAAGGTCTTTTCCAACCTAAACGATTCTATGATTCTATGATAATCCAAAGACTACAATATTTTCACTGCTCAGGCGGTATTGTTTTCCTATTTAAGCATGTTCCCCTTCTTGCATATGACAGCTTTCAAGACAAGACCCAAACCTCACCACCTTGGCCCAGCATCAGCTCCATCTCACTCTTTCTACCCTAAACACAAGAAATTTGGTCCCACAACCTATAATCCCAGCGTCCCTCCTCCATCCTTACAATGTACATCTGAAAAGTCCCTATAGGTAGTCATAACTCAGAAAGTGTAATCATGCAAAAAAGACAAAGAGGCAACTATTGTTCACACAAGTAAGAAAGAAGCCATCTAATGCTTTCATGTTGCAAGTAATAGTTTTCTCCAGGAAGAAGGTTAGGAAGGGGAAGGACAGAATTAGAGTTGATGTGGTCTTACACTAAATAGTTTCAGTTTGAGGTGTATTTGAATTACAATGCTTTAAATTCCTGCCTGTCAAACATACATATGGTTTATGGATTTGTTCTTTGTGTCTGGTTTTTACTAACCACAAGACAATAGTTCTAAATGTACATTTTTAAAAAACTTTTTGAATGTTCAAACTCAGACATTTTAAACTTTTAAACTCAGCTTTGCAGAAGAGGCTCTGGGGGTCCTGGTGGACACCAAGATGAATATGAGCCACCGTTGTGCCCTTGCGGCAAAGAAGGCGAGGTGCCAATCTCCCTGGTATCCAGTGATAGGACACATGGGAACAGTTCAAAGCTGTGCCAGGGTAGGTTTAGACTGGATTTTAGGAGGCATTTCTTTACTGAGAGGGTGGTCAAACACTGCAACAGGCTTTCTAGAGAGGTGGTCAATGCCCCAAGCCTGTCAGTGTTTAAGAGGCATTTGAACAATGCCCTTAATAACATGCTTTAACTTTTGGTCAGCCCTGAAGCAGTCAGGCAGTTGGACTAGATGATCATTTTAGGTCCCTTCCAACTGAAATTATTCTATTCTGTTCTGTTCTGTTCTGTTCTGTTCTGTTCTATTCTATATGGTGATAGCAGGAGAATGGCATTGGGAGGACAGTCAGAGCTGGGTTTCCTATGGATGCAGTGCTCTTGTGCTTGGTGACTCCATGTTGCTTGGACCCCACGGCAGTGTCCCCTGACTGCTCTGTGGATGCAAGTAGTAACCTCACGTCCCCATCCCCACACACGCCTCAGTGTCCTGATCTATTCAGCAGAGGAAGCTGAGGCAGGCGTCACCCGGAGCCTTGGTACTGACACGGCTGCCTCGAACAAGGTGCACATTGTCTTGCTCTGGCACTGCCTCTCCTATTGGCCCATCCTGACTGCCACAGGGACTGGGCATCTTTAAAAGGATGCCAGCAAGGTCTGAGTCGGGCACACAATCTCTCCGACTCCCACCAAGAGCTGGTGTGACCACTGCCTCTCTCTGGAGGACCACTGCCTCACAAAGCCTCTACAATGTGTAACCGATTTGTGGGAACATGGAAACTCGTCTCCAGTGAAAATTTTGATGACTATATGAAAGAATTGGGTGAGAAATGTTCTTTCTTTTTTTTTTTTTTTTAATAAGTTTTCTTTGGGAATGTCTCCTCTTCATCTTATACATTGCTCATGGATGGTGCCTTCTGCCTGGCCACAAAAGCACTGTAATTACTTTTCTAGCATTATTTACTTTCTTTCCTTTAGCATCTAAAATGGAAGAATGGAAAGGTAGGTGCTGAATTGCCATAATAAATTTACTTCTGTTCTAACTGAACTGACCTATCTAATTTATTTTTCTGTAATGAGAAGAATCTATGGAGATACAGCATTTTTTTATGTTTCTCTTGATTACACCATTAAACTCATGACTTGTGACAATTTTCAATATATAATGGAGCTCATGTCTCATGACACTTTGGTTTCAGAGGTCTAAATCCTATGAATGAATCTGTCTGTTACTGAAGAATGCCAGGAATGTAATAAATTAGGCATTGTTTTCATTTTAATGCTGGCTTCATTCCTATATAGCAAGTGCACAGACAGTCAGCTACAGCATTGCTTCTGCTCTATAAATGATTCACTGAGACACTGATTCCCTTTATTTGAAATGTTAAACTGAATAACAAAAGAATTGCAGTTAATTAAGTAACCAGAGTAAATGTGGGATGAAAGTACAGCTACAGATATTTTTCTGAAGATCTGAACAGAAATGTTTAGTATGGAATAATTACTGCAGATAGCATTATACTTTACAGATAACCTTATACCCTTTTATACAGATCTTTTCATCTGAGCATAGCATAGCATTGACAAAGGCAATAACTACATCTATCGCCTTTCTGCTTTTATAAAACAGCGATACATCATCAGTGGCCTTCATTCCAACTTGCCCCAGACCTCACAACTTGTAGACAATGAACTGAACTGAAAAGTGCTAGGCAGCATAAAATGTTTTTGACATGGGATTTTCCCTGAAGCCCTCTGTAGCTCTTTGCTCTTCATTGTTTTTTATATTTCATACTTGCACTTTTCACTGAGGTTTAGGTGTAAGGATCCTTAAAGGATGTTAGTAGCAACCTAGGAATTGCCCAATCTCCTGTATGTTTAATGAACAAGCACCAGCATATTGGCAGTTCAGTATCCATTTTCTTCCATGCAGCTGGTTAACAAAAGTGCAGATTCTCAGATCTGTCAAGAATTTTTTTAAAAAAGGATTTTTGCAAGCTTTTATGAGAAATAGACCTTTCCTCTGAATTTTTCTACCTATTCTATCTCTACACAAATTCATGCAGATTTGTAACCATCTATGTTTCTTAGTTAAATGTACACAAGTGTATACTCATGTATATCTTTATTTCTTGCCGAAGGTGCACTTTTTCAACTGGGGCTGCCTCAGCCTCTGAATGCAGTACTTCTACACTTGAAGAATTAGTGTCTTATCTGAATCAGGCATTAGAGTATTCAAGAAGAAATTGTTCCTTATTCTTCCACTGAAGATTTATGAAAGGATACTGAGTTTCTTGCTTGCTGGAATGTAATGTTAGTTTTGTTTCTGATTTCTAGGAGTGGGCTTAGCTACCCGGAAACTAGGTGGCCTGGCAAAGCCTGATGTGATCATCAGTATGAAAGGGGACATAGTAACCATCAGAACTGAAAGCACCTTCAAAAATACAACGATCTCTTTCAAACTGGGCCAGCAGTTTGATGAAACAACAGCAGATGACCGGAAAGTCAAGGTAAGGGGGCTGATGATCTCTGAGTGGTCTTGACATCCTAGAAGAGCACCAGGATAAATTTTTCCTACCCCCTTAAGTGCACTATGATTTTTCCAAACTATTCAAATAAAGCACTGAAAGAAGAAATACTATGGTGCTGAAACTGATGTTACTAAGCATGTCATTAGCCAAGAATGCAGATCTTGCTGAACATAAAATGAATTGCTACTCTGCAAAGCTCAGACTGCAGTTTGAAACTCTTCTCTTGGCCTTTGCAGAGTGTTGTTACCTTGGAGAAAGGAGCATTGGTGCAAGTGCAGAAGTGGAACGGCAAAGAGACCACGATAAAGAGAAGACTGGTTGACGGGAAAATGGTGGTGGTAAGCTCACACTCCTTGTATGCTGATAAAGGTCAGAAGGATGCAGCCTTCAGTTTGCTTCTGTCTAAAATGACTGATGATTTTGGCTTTCTCTCTGGCTTGTGAGATAAATTAAGAGAGAGAAAAATGGAACCACACGTAGGAAACAAGCTGGAAGGAAATAAATATTGTTCCATACAGCAGATTGTCTTTAAAGTGACTATATTGGCAGAGCTGCCATAAATTGACAACATACTTACTGCTTTCAAGGTTATTATTCTTAAAAGAAATTATGTTTTCAAACGGCACAAACCTGTGAAATGCAAATAAAAGTTTGCAAGTTGGCTACTGCTGTCCCTGGACTGGCTCTTTCCTTTTTCCTATCTTTGGAATAAAGCCTGTCCACTTAGAAAACTGATTTTACACCTTTTCCACTAAAGCCCACCAATTCATACACTTTGGTTTGCTTTTTCCATGTGAGCATGCCGAGCGCACTAAGCAGGTGCTTGAGGTTTATTGTGTGAAAGCCAGCACCTCTGTGCCCATGCCTGCCTGCCTGGTGACCTGCAACAGGGACTGGCAGGTCCTGATGGCTCCCCTGAAACATTCGCCATGGTGTGGGAGCCACGTCTTTCATGGGGGCGGGGGAACGGTGGCTTTCCCTCACCACCACCTTCAACCTGCCTTTCTCTAGCAGCCAAGTGAAACCCATGGGCTGGCCAAGCCATGAGATAACACATTTTAGGAACCCTAGTTGTAAAGGATCACTACTAAAATTAAGATTTCACTTTTGAAGGAAGGAAAGTACTTTGTTCATTAAAGTTTTTAAAGAGTGGAGTCAAACTAATTTGGGCAACTTGTTTGAAAGCAGCATTATACCTTTATGTGCTGGCTTGTTCTGACTGCATTTTTTTGTAAGCTTTTGGACACTTGGAAGCGTGATTAGGTTTTGCATCTCATCGTGGCTGCATTTCTGTGTAAACTTTTTCTAATTATTAAACCATCTTCGAAACACAGAGAGGTAGGGTCCCCATTCTATCGGTGTCTTGCCATCTGCCCCTTGCCTAAAACAGGTCTGGGGAGGAAGCATCATCTTCTGCAGACCGATGAGGTCTTTTTTAATGTCCTGTCACCTCTGTCGCACACACCTCATGGTTGTGAGTCACCAGGAGCCACTGAGGGCCGCTGGGGTGAGAGAGTCAGGAGAAATATTTTGTGACTCATAAGTGCAAAGTTTTTTAGGTCAGAAGCCTGACCTCTAAACTACTTCTGCTTCCCTCAAAAAAAAAAAAAAAAAAAAAAATCTTTGTAAAATTGAAAGCATTCATGGACCATGGCATAATAAACTATGTAGTGCTGATATTTCTGTCAAGCCAGCAACAATACCAAGGAAGGTAAATTTGTTTCTGGAAGTTGAGCCTAGTTTTGCAATCTATTTGTGATTATATGCCACTTAATTAAGTTTGAAGATGTTAAAATATAAACCACTCCCATTGAAATACAAAAAGATCTTTGCTGTTTGCTCTAAAAATTATGTAAATATATAAAGAAGTAAAATATGACATCTGCATTTTCACTGACTTCAGTGGTTACTGCAGCAGACACACCAACTGTCAGTGAAAGGTTTATATTAATCTTTTTCTTTGTGCTTTAGGAATGTGCCATGAAAGGAGTTGTCTGCACTAGAGTCTATGAAA